GGATGGATGGATGGATGGATGGATGGATGGATGGATGGATGGATGGATGGATGGGTGGATGGATTGTGATAAGAGTTGTATGAGCCCCCAATAAAATGGTTTAAAAAAAAAAGAAAGCATCCCCACCCAGTTCAGTACAAGTGCATAAGTCCAATATTAGCCCATGTGTCTGATACCAATCTATAAAGTCCTCTTCAGACTCATGAAACTTGTGCAACGATGCCAAATGCAGGACAGTCATAGGCCAGCGGGTAAAAGTCTTTGGCTCCAGAGTCGTCGTAAGCATCTCAGCACTGGCAGGGCTCTCCACGTGGCTTCTCCAGTTCCCAGGGCACGGGGTCTGTCAGCGTCCTGCCTTGTGTTTTGTCAATAGAGCGTCTCCAAGAGAGTGAGCAGAGAGAGAAAGTGTCTCCAGTCCCCAAGGAGGAAAATATAGGAGTTCCCAGCATCCTCAGGAGGAGGCCACGCCCACACAGAGGCCTCCTTGGCTATGATCTGATTGACAGACTAGACTCCACCCCTTCACTCTTAATCCCCTCAGGTCCCAAATTGACACCAGATTACATAACTACCACAAACAACCAGACAGTTCTGTAAGGGAAATGATGATATTTGCAAAGTATACACACGTAAGAATAACCAACCACTTATGATCTAAGGAGCAGCATTATCCAGGACAAAGTCCAGAAGCAGTAGGGAAAAAATAGGAAAGGATACAGGAAGGACAGAGAGGATGGCACGGATGCACTCACTGAGATGAAGCAAAATATTTATGAACTACTAAATATAAAGTTCATGGTCTGCTTTGTAAACTCTCACCCAATTCCCAGTGAGAAGTTCATTTTAACAACGACCATCTTCTTCACTTCTTTGCCCTGATTCCCCCACTACCAAGCAATCTCTGATGCCTTTTCCTACAAGTGGGAATGCAGGGAATATAACCTTTGTCCATTTGTGATGAATGTCTTACTATAATAGGCTGGTATTACACTTTTTAAAATGGGTTCACACCAGGAAGCAGTCAGAGGACCAGAATTTCAACCAGGTGGAAGTCTATGATGAAGAAAGCGATGAAGGTAGGTACCTTGGAGTCTAGATGTACCGCTGCTGTTGACTCGCTGCTGGTAAAACACTTCTCAGGGTGTCAGGTTCCCCACAGAGGTACCGAACTCAATAACTTCAGAGTCCCTTCCATCTTTCAGAGTTGTAGTTCTTAGAAATTAATAAAAGAAGATCTTCCAGGTATTTTGGTTCTCAAGAGAGGCACAAACACTGCCCGTGGAAGCAGCAGTCAAGCAATCAACCAGGCTCTCCATTGGGCAAATCTGCTGCCCAAGACATCTTCAAAGTGTCAACAAGCAGAGAAGTCACCTGGAGGACTAAGGCACACCTGACTCAAGTCACGACCTGTACAATCACTTCACGTGTATCTAAAAGCTGGGCCATGGAGAAGGAAGATGGACGAATCGGTGCAGTTGGATTACAGGGGACTGAAGAATATTGAGTCAACCATGGGCTGCCAGCAGAAGCAACAAATCTGAATTAAAAGAAATGCAACTAGAAATTTCCTCAGAAGGAAGGCTGTCAAGACTTCATCTAACATCCTTTGGACATATTATCTAGAGGAACCAGTCCCGGGGGAAGGGCATCATGCTTTGTAAAGTAGAGGGCTAGTGGAAAAGAGGAAGATTCTCAATGAGATGAATTGGCACGATGGCTTCAAACGTGGATTTAATCAAAGCAATGAATGTGAAGACAGCGCTGGACCAGGCAGTGTGTCCTTCTGCGGTACATAAGGTTGCTATGAATCAGAAGCAGCTCAGCAGCATGTCCAGAATGTATCATGTCACGTCCAGGAAGACTCACTTGGGTCATAGTGTCAGCACTGTTCCTTGGGTCAGTTCTGCCCGTAAAAAGACAGATGGTATCCTCATGGGAAATCTAAAATAGCAACAGAGATGCTCCCTAGGGGAAGGACGGTCACATTGTAATTCCTTTTCTGTTTAAATTGCATCAGTGTGAGGGTGTCGGTGAAAAGAGATGCAAGAGGGAAGGAAAAGCAACGTGAAGGCTGTCTAGATGATGAGAGAAGTGGGTGCAGAGTACAGCGTAGAGCGTTGCTTACACACACACACACACACACACACACACACACACACACAATTAGGACCCTGAAGATGCTTAGGCTTGCTTGACACGTGGGAACTGTGTCTGTGAACTTTAGTAGATACATGAAACTGTTTCCATGATTAGCCACATCACTGCGGGGGCAGACAAGAACTGAGTGTCCCAAAGCTTACTCTCCTTAGAGGTATTAGTTACCCATTTTTCAAGGCTGCCTCAAGCCAGCTTCCTCTGTAGCCCTTCCAGTACGCATTATCTGGACTCCCTTGATCTCCTCATTGTTTTCGGTACAGTTATTGGGCTATGTTTCACAGGATACAGGCAACCCCCTGGTTACAAATGAGATCTGTGCCTATGTCTTTAAGAATTTGTTGGTAAGGCGGGCCAGGTATATACGAGGATGGTTCGTATTCCATCTTACTTTAGCGCAAGAAAAGGCTCCACACCTCTAAGGTGATTTAAAAACTGCACATGCAGCCTAAGCAGATGATTGTGATGAGAAACAAATTGTTTCAAGCAGGGGTTGGTTCAATGGTTTCAAAGTGAGGACAAGCATATGTAACATTAAAGGACAAACCTGAACCGTTCGTCAGATCTTCACAACCCAGGGACTGTCTGCACCTTCAGAGCAGACTCCTTACCTGAGTGCTAGTTCTACATGACCGCCTGCCTACCAATTAGTGCCATCGAGGTGTCCTTACTTTCACTTAATGAGTCCAAAGCAAATTTGGCATGAGTTCCCCTTCCTAACTCACCTTTCTACCAATGGCAGTACTAAACTCATTCCCGGGTTCACTATCCTTCATCAATAATCCTCCACACTGAACAAGAATAAACTCATCAGTTCACTCAGTCTTCAAGAAATGTTCACCCTGTGATTTGCTGAATCAAGATCAGAAACGATCCAATTGATTTCCAAGATCATGGTGGCAGGTCCTCTGTTCTCGCCTCTCGACCTAATTCCGCTTTTTATCACCCCCTGCCTACCCTCCAAGACTCTCCTACCTGGTGGCCTCTCAGCCTTTCAATCTGCCCTGTGTCTTTCGATCCACTTACAAAAAATCAACAGACTGATCTTTTGAAAGCCATCTTGGTTTGAGTAAAAACACAGGAGGGTTCTCATTCACCAAGCAGTGCTCACAGACTCTGCTTTGGTATTCAGGTTCTTCAAACTCCCTCCCAGGTGCTCCGTCTTTGTCTCTATGTAGCCCCGCGTGCTTGAACATCAACTATGGGCCAGCCACACTATCCTCCAATACTCCCCAGCCTTCCCCTCCATCTCAACTCAATCCAGGGTACCGGGTGTCACTTCGCAGCCACCACAGTGGTTCCTGCCTCTTAGACGCTGCTTGTGCTTTTGCCCAGCCAGGAAGGTCCTCTTTCCTGCTCATCTGCCCGAACTGAAGCACCTTCTCTGGGGTCCCAGACCACAACTACCTTTCCCTTTTGTGGGAGTCCTCACCTTAGCTCTCTATCGCTCAGTATGGTTCTTTCACTGTTTCCCAAGCATTTGTGGGTCTCCCCAGTTAAGACCTGAGCTCCGGAAGAATGTTTCCATTTTCCTTTTATCTTGCTCAAGATAGGGCAAGAACAGGCTCAAGGCCGGGAAGTACCTTGATTTTGGACACAGGCAAGGCCCAGGAGCTGCAACCTAGGCAAGAGAGGCAAGGAATGTGCTCTGGAATGCTAAAACGAGTTCCTAGCACAACATTGGAGATTCAACCATTCTTTGACCAATGCAAAGTTGCATTTTTTTTAAAAACAATTCGAGCCCCTGACACACCATACCATAGAAATCTCCATGGTTTTCATCTGAAATACAATGGCTGGTGTCATCGACTGAATCTCAATCACTAATCAGATTTGCGATCCTTGTCTCTGCTTGGCCAGAACGCTAGGTCCCACACGGACAAGAAGAGGCCATGTAAGCGGCGTCTATCTATCTGGAAGTTGCCCCTGTACCTGGCACTACCTATACGCTAGCGCCAGTTCATGCAAGACACAGCCAGGTGAAGGACACCCCCCAGAGCAAGGAAAGATGCCCCAAACCCCGTACATTCTTAGAAGGATAAAGGAGCCGGACTTACCTTCACATAGTAGTTCATGCCCATTCCCAACAGGTGCTGGAGAAGGTGCCTGTCCTGCCCGTGCCCGGTGGGTGGCTCCCCGGGGCCAGGAAGAGGGCAGGCATCCTGAGTTGCCCTGGCTGCGGGTGCCCTGTGCTCCCCGGGGTTGGGCTGGGGCGCAGGTGCCGGGCCGGCCCTGCTGTGACTGGCTTCTGGCGAAGCAGGGCTGCTACTGGGAGCGGGCTCTTGACTTTCCTGCAGTTTGAGCCGCAGCACGTCTTTGGTACCCAGACAAAAGTTTTTCAGGCTCAGCAAGGTGGCTGGGTTGGCCAGCTTCATACTGGCCATGCGGGGGATCAAGGTGCACAGGGGAGTGGGGCTCTCCTGGGCCGCCAAGGTGGCATCTTCTGCGGGCAGGTGAGGTGCCAGGGTGGGGTAGGGCGGCTGCGAGGAACCCTTGGCCCCCACCGCGCCTCCGGGACTGCCTTCGTCCAAGGACGTGACGGACTCGTTGCGAAAGCGGCTGTACTTGGCCCTGTGCAGCATGCCGGGGTGCGCAGAGAGTCCTACATAGAGCACGAGTCCTGCCAGGCTGTCCTGGCCGCGTCTTCGCATAGCCCTGGCCGTGCTGGACCAGGATTCGGTGGCATAAAGAGCCTCGTCTTCTGACAGCTCACCAGCGTGGAAACGGACGGCCTGGGCGCCTGGTGCCGGGCGCCGCAGTCACCCCTCCAACTCTTCTCGGTCGGGAAGCCGCCCGCCCGACCCCTGAAAGCCGCCCGGGAGGGAGACGCCTCTCTGGCTCGGACGCCAGTTCCTCGCCGGCCCCGGGGGCAGCTCCCGGGCTTCCCGCCCGGGGTTCCCGGGCCGCGCGGCTGGGGCTCGATCGCTCCCCGCA